TCTTATGCTTTTTAATTCTCTTTAAAATTTAACTTGGTTACTCTGTAATTTATTTGTAATGATATTGGTTCACACTGGAAAATAAAGTTATATAGGATGACATCTTAAGATGTCATAATCATCAATTGAGAATGATTTTTCCCAAGGAAACCAAGTCAGGCAAAGAACTCTAGTATTTAGGATGTTTTTATTTATTTCTCTGTCTAGTTTGAACAGAATGGTATGCAGGTTATGTTGCGAGACTTGAAGTTTCTGCATGCTTTAAAACACTTTTAAGTGTTAATAAGATGCGTGGCCTATCCTTATCTCTTACCTTTTACTGCCATCCTGTGGCCATTCCATTTTTAAGCTAAAAATCCATTTGCAAAACCGTATTTTCTATTTTTATCATGGATTATGGTTTCAGATTTTATCAGTTTCCAACTAACACAGCCATGCACAATGCACGCGTTCAAAGCACTTTGCTTTATTAAGACACTCCACAATGCAGTAGTCCACAGCTACCATGGAGCTTCAAGTCTGGGTGAGATTTCACACATTTTCCAAAAGGACTCTCCTTAATCATCTCCCTTCCACCCCTCCCCACCCCACGGGGCTTTTCCGGGAGTGCTCAGGCAGCAGTAGTTTATGACGGTCTCAGTGACAGACGCCCTCGGTTGTCTCCGCATCTGGAATATTCTCAGGCACCTTCTGTGGGAGCCCGGGAGGGGGACAGGGTGGGCGGGCTGGACAGGGACGGCAGGGGGACAGGGACGGCAGGGGGACAGGAATGGCAGGGGGAGAGGGACGGGAGGCGGGACAGGGATGGCAGGGGAACAGGGACGGCAGGGGGACAGGGACGGCAAGGGGACAGGGATGGCAGGGGGACAGGGACGCAGGGGGACAAGGGACGGCCAGGGCAGGAATGGCAGGAGAGGGACGGAGCGGGGCAGGGATGGCAGGAAAGGGACGCAGGGGACAGGGACGGCAGGACAGGGAGCAGGGGACAGGACGGGAGCAGGACAGGGACGGCAGGGGGACAGGGACAGGAGGGGGACACGGACGGCAGGCGGGACAGGACAGCAGGGGACAGGACGCAGGGGACAGTACTAGCAGGGGACAGGGACGGCAGGCGGACCAGGGAGGCACGGGACAGGGAGGCAGGAAGGACGGCAGGGGACAGGGACGGCAGGGGACAGGGACGGCAGGGTACAGGGACGCAGGGGAGAGGGATGGAGTGGGACAGGGACGGCAGGGGACAGGGACGGCAGGGGGACAGGGATAGCAGGGGGACAGGGACGGGAGGACCAACGGACGCAGGCGGGACAGGACGGCAGGGGGACAGGAGGCAGGGGACAGGATGCAGGGACAGACGGAGCCAGGACAGGGACGGCAGGGGGACAGGGACAGGAGGGGGACACGGACGGCAGGCGGGACAGGTACAGCAGGGGGACAGGACGGCAGGCGGGACAGGGACGGCACGGGGACAGGGAGGCAGGGACAGTGAGGCAGGGGACAGGGACGGCCGGGTACAGGGAGGCAGGGGGAGGGATGGGAGGCGGACAGGGACGGAGGGGACAGGGACGGCAGGGGACAGGGACGGCAGGGACAGGGATGGCAGTGGGAAGGGACGGGAGGGACAGGGACGGCAGGGGTACAGGGACGGCAGGGGGAGAGGGATGGGAGGCGGAAGGGACGGAAGGGGACAGGACGGCAGAGGGACAGGACGGCCAGGGGACAGGGATGGGAGGGGGACAGGGATGGCAGGGGGACAGGGACGGAAGGGGGACAGGGACGGCAGGAGGGACAGGGACGGCAGGGGGACAGGGACGGCAGGGGGACAGGGACGGCAGGAGGGACACGGATGGCAGGCGGGACAGGGACAGCAGGGGGACACAGATGGCCGGCGGGACACGGATGGCAGGCAGAACCCACGAAGGCGAGCTTTGCTCATGCTACGCCATTAGGGCCTCGTGTCTAGTCCAGTGGAAAATAATAGGCCTGAGAAATGACAACAATGACAGTGGCTGATACATATGGAGTCCTAAGTTACATACCACGTCCTGTTCTACACACTTGACATGCATTATCTCATACTTCCAACAACTTAGAGCCGGTTATTATTCTTATTTTACAAATTAAAAAGAGTACTCTGGGTTGTGGAGTGTGGCACTCCTTGTCCCAGGTGGCCCAGGTGCAGACTGTGGGCTGGTTGAGCCAAAGAGCGAGTGGATAGACGGACAGGAAGTGTTCGCTTTGACGCTAGTCTATGTGCTGCAGTTTGTCTTCACCCTGAATCATTGCCTTGTAGGTGAAGGAATCTTCCAGATCTTGAATTTTCTTTAATCTTATACCTCATTCAGTGTAATTTCCTCTTGTGCGTTTAGAGAAACAGCCTGGGGTCTCTTATCCTGGGCCAGGGGACCAGCAGGAGAGGGACGCTGTCGTTCTGCTGGGAAAAGCCCCTCTCCACGCTTTGCCCGCACCGGGCTGACAGTCAGCCTGGAAGGAAGGAACGCTCCCCAGACCCCGGAGAGAGCCCCACATTCGAATCATTCTCTGACCACGGTAAGAGGGGATCTTTCGAAGACAAATTTTGGTCAAAATGGCACTCTAAAGAAACTAGCTGCAGAATTTATTTTAAACTACATTTTTTCTTTCTGCTTTTAGTTTTGTGAGAAATACCAGTTTAATTTCTCGCCAGTGGGTTGTTACTGTGACTCTACCTGGGGCACGGTGAGAGCCCGGCTGGGCGTGTCACCCTCATACAGAGGACAGACGCTGCTGTCCAGGGCGGGGTGGGCTGTCGCTGATCCAAATGGCGCTTTGTCCTTCTTCTTGGATGATATTCGATCTGTCAGTCTTCCACGTGCTGGAAACCACATGACCTTGTTTACTGGTCCTGACTTCCCAAAGGATCTTTGACATTCTTTCAGAAGAATGTTATCCTATTTCATGCAACTTTTAGCTACACATTTCATTCTGAATTTTTATGTTACTTTAATTACTCTCCCATAAACTTCATCTTCAAAAATTTCTTTTCTTATTCATGATGTGCCTTACTTCATAGTGCTTAAGGAGGGAATGTTCATATGTAATAAAAGACGAAGCCTTATACTTTATATCTGTGATGCATGTTTTCACCTACACAATAATAATAATAAATATTTATGGCATGCTTATTATATGCTAGGCACCATTTTAAGTCCTTTACATGTCTATCTCCTTTAATTTTAACAACCCTGCCAGGTGCAGTGCCTCACTCCTGTAATCCTAGCACTTTGGGAGGCCTAGGTGGAAAGATGGGTTTGGGCCAGGAGTTCAAGACCAGTCTGGACAACATAGAGAGACTGTCTCTACAAAAAATAAATTAGCTGGCCATGTTGGCATGTGTCCTTTAATCCTAGCTACTAGGGAGGCTGAGACAGGAGGATTGCTTGAGTCCAGGAGTTTGAGGCTGCAGTGAGCTATGATGGTGCCACTGCACTCTAGCCTGGGAGACAGAGCAGGCCCCTGTTCTAAAAACCAAACAAACAAAACTCCTAAAATAAAACAAACAAAATAAGGAAATAAATATTATACAAATTTAGTTTTAATTTTTAATGCAATAATTATTGATGTAGTCTTTTAGTCTGTAAAATCCAAAGCTCTTTGGGGTCCTCAAGAATTGTTTTTTTTTTTTTTATTTTATTTTTTAGAGAAGTTTTAGGTGCATGGGAAAATTGAATGGAAAGTTCAGAGAGTTTTCATATACCTCCTGGCCCCCCAACTTCAACCTCCCCAACTATCAACATCCCAGCCAGAGTGGTGTATTTATTAAAAGTGACAAGTCTTCATCAACGCACCATTAGAGTATATATTAAGTTCATGCTTGGTGCTGGGCATCCTGTGGGTTTGGACAAATGTATAGTATTATGCAGAGTATTTTCATTGCCTTAAAAATTCTCTGTGCTCTGCCTATTCATCCCTCCCTTCCCCTTCCCCTTGGCAACTGCTGATCTTTTTACTGTTTCCAAAAAGCACGCCTTTCTAGAGTGCCATGTAATTGTGACCATGCAGTACGTAGCCTATCAGATTGGCTTCTTTCACTGCAGATGTGTTTAAGCGTCCATGCCTTTGTATAGCTTGATAGCTCATTTCTTTTTAGCACCGAATAACATTCCATTGTCTGGATGTAGCACAGTTTATTTATCCATTCATCCACTGAAGGACATCTTGGTTGCTTCCAAGTTTGGGCAATTCGAGGAAGGCTGTCATACACATCCGTGTGCAGATGTTTGTGTGGACATCAGTTTTCAATTCATTTGAGAAAATACCGAGGAGCCTGTTTGTTGGATCGTATGGTAAGAGTATGTTTAGTTTTGTGAGAAATTGCCAAACCTCTTCCAAAGTGGCTGTGCCATTTTGCATTTCTATCATCGGTGAATGAGTTTCTGCTGCTCTACGTCCTTGACAACATTTGGTAGTGGCAATGTTTTGGACTTTTGTGGGTTGTCAATAATTTGTAAGTGTATAATGGGGTTCTGGGAGCAACAAACAGATTTGAGAACTACTGCCCTAAGGCAGTGGTCCCCAACCTTTTTGGCAGCAGAGAAAAATTGTTTCATGGAAGACAATTTTTCCACAGATGGAGAAGGGGACAGAGCTCTGCTGTCTGGTCCAGGACCGGGGGTTGGGGACCACATCCCTAAAAGATGCCTGAGCATTAAGATGGAAGGAACTAGAATATCAAGCAAAGCAGCTTCTCCGGTGCAGAAAAATCAAGCTTCAGCCTTATTTAATCTATCATGTTTGGGGTCTCTCTATCACAGAAGCTGAGCCTTCACCTAGCTGTTACAGTCAGGTCAGAACGAGACTCTGCATACCTCACTTTCAGTTGAAGCACTAATAGCTATTGCTAGCAAAATTGGGAGTGAGCCATGTCTGTAAATGTGGACTTTAGTAAAGGAATTCTCTGAGAATCAGTCTGCTGACTTAGCAGATCAAGGATATAAAAAGTGTCCAGAGTATGGCAAGAGAGAGAAGGTGATCAAATACATTTATTTGGAAAGCATTTTTGTCGTGCTCTGAGACCCCATCACCTACCTTTGGGAGAGGGATTTTACTTTCTCACCCAAGCTTAGAGGACTTTGGAATGGGTTCCCTGAAGTTGTGCAAACTGGTGGCCGACTCAGTCTGGGAGGCCCATGGTGCCCGTGGTCTGGGCTCCAATTCCTGTCCAGAAAGTCTGGAGGGAGAGACGACGGCTCTCCAGTTAGTAGCTCTGGCGGCGGTTGCTGCTGCTTTGGGGTCAGCCTGCTGCAAAGACGGTGCTGGGGTGAAGGATGCTTGAGTGCTTCGAGGCACTGGATGTGGCTGCCTGGGAGCGGTCCAGTTGGAATCCTGCATCTATTCAACAGGCCTCCTGGGGTGGAGAGCAGTCCTCAGCAGAAGGAGTGTGCATGTATACGCCTTAGCAAGGAGTCATAAGTGACAACCTGCAAGAGAAATTCATCCTTCTGGGTCAAGGAGACTCAGGGGCGAGGCCCACGGTGCTAGAGCATGGTGAGAGTAACCCACCGAAGCCCTACCAGAGGGAGAGATGGGTCAGCTTTAATCACCTGCCAGGAGCAGGAAGCACAAGACCAGCTCATGACAGTTGAGTCCTTTCTTGCTTTTTCCCTTTCTCCCTCCTCTGAACCAGCACACGTGGGCCAGGAGCCCATTCTCCAGTGGAGGGAAGAGTCGTGAACAGCTAAGAAGCAAAACCACAGCCAGCCCCACTTGCCGTTCTCATTGTGGACTTCCAGCCTGAAGCCAGAGCTAAGGAGAGAAGTCACCTAAGTCCAGTTCAGAGTTTTAATCATTATATGCAACCACACATTTAATATTTGAATTGAGATTTTTTTCCCCAATTATTTTTACTGTGGTAAAATATACACAACACAAAAGGTATCATTGGAACCATTTTTAAATATGCAATGCAGTGTAATTAAATACATTCATAATGCTGAGCAAGTATCACCACTGGTCATCTCTGTAACTCTTTTCATCTTGTAAAGTTAGAATTCTATATCCATTAAAAAATAACTCCCATTCTCCCCTCTTCCAATCCCCTAGCAACTACTATTCTACTTTCTGGAATTCAGACTTTTTTGGTGACTTAAACTCATTGTATAGCTGTTACCAAAAAAAGCACAAAAAAAGCCTAGACTTTAGAGTTTTATCCCGATGTAGGAGATTACCCAACTGAATATATTTTAAAGAGATAGAGAACCAAAAACAAAGTTGCATTTTTTTCCACCATATACGACCTGAAGAGCAAAGTTGCATTTTAATTATGTCATGTATCATGCATGCATGCATTTTCAACTTACCCAATATTAAAGCAATCTGTTTTGTATCTTTATATTTTGGCTTTTTAGGTTTTCTTAAAGAAAGTACATTTATACCAATAAATAATTAAGAAAATAGCTCAAATGATTGGCAGGTTTGCAGGTATTGAATTAAACAGATGGCCATTAGCTTGAGGCTGTCTGGGTACTTCGAATTCCTGTATAATAAACTGCAACCTAAGTTAGTAAACCTAACTTGGTGTATTTTTTGTAACAGTTAGTTTCAGCCAATCACAAATAGTTAGCTTTAGCCAATAACAGGTATCCAATTTGTCAGAGCGTGGGGAGATAAGCAAGATGCCTACCTGTGGCTAATCCGGTGATTTCTGTGCTTTGCATCTGTGGTTAGTCTGCAAAGCTCACTGCTCACACTGTTGGGCAGGGCTCTCTGCACCTGCTCTGGGTGGTGCCCCATTCACGAGCTGTTCTTTGAGCAAATAAACTTTGTTAAATTTATGGTGTCTGAAGTTTTCCTTTAAACATGGAGAAGGTAATGAGTTTAATTTGGAAATGTTGGCTTTGAATTATCTGACCAGGGGGACAGATGGATTGAATTTATATATTCAAGAGTTATTTATATATAAACTCTTAGAACAGTGTTGAATAGTAAGAATTATGTGTTAGCTCTTATAATAATTATTCTTTTAAATTTCAATATCTTATGAAAACCTACACGTTCCCATCCTTAGTTCAGTTTATATTAAGTATACTTTGGTGGCAGTACCATTATGTAATTGTTTACTTTATTAACTTAATGTATTTTGACTATGGTGGTTCCGCAAATTAGAGACAATTTAAATGTTTTTAAAAACTTTATTATGTTGTACTTTTACTGAGTACTAAAGCATGCAAAATGAGTTTGAAGCACATCATTGAATAATAGTGTAGTTATCTTTGTATCATTTATGTTAATTGAGCTTTATTTTCTGTAAAACATTTTCATACTTTGAATTCTTTAAACACAGGTTTGGCAAAAATAAAAGGCAATTAATCTTGACAGAATATCATTTTATTGCAAATTGTATGTATAGTACTTTAAATCACTCAGTTATTTATGGGCAATTATATAATAAAAGAATCCAGAGAGTTGAAGTTTCAAATCTTGAAAAAAATAGCATTTGCTTTTGTCTTCATTGATCTATGCTATATTATAAAATCACCACATATTTATTATTATTAATCTTTCACTGTGCCTTATCCAGAAGGAACAAAAGAAGGTGTCTTTTCTTTTCTGTTTTAGTAAGCAGTAGTTTCACTCAGGTTTTCGGAAGTGCAGAACAAGATTTGGTTAATTTTTTAAGTTATTCATCTATTCCATAACTGCTTATGAGGTACCTATCAATATCTCAGGCTACAAGATTCTGGGCTTATTAAAAACAAGAACAACAATAACAAAAAAACCCACTTTTGTGAACTTTTATACTTTTCTTGCAGTGTAAACAGATAAAAACCGTGTACATGAATAAATCAATAATATAATTTCTAGAGAGTGGTAGTGCTATGACAAAAATAAAATATAGCAAATGAGACAGAGACTCTTCAATTGTTAAAATAACTATTTTTCTTTTATTTAAGTTGATTAATAAAACTTGTAACATATGACTATCACCTGTTTTGACGCTCAAAAATAATTTACTAACATTTATTGAGCATGTGCTTTGTGCTAGGCATTCTGTTAAGCACTTATATGCATGATCTCATTTAATTCTCAATATTCTCCAAAAAGTGGGTGTTATTAAGATTTGCATTTTACATATCAGGACACTGAAGTTTACAAAAATTTATTGTCATACCTTAGGCCACCTGCATTGTAAAAGGCAGAGCTGGGATTCAAATCTAAGTCAACATGCCTTTAAAGTTGGACTGTCCAATGTGTTAGCCACCAACACGTGTAACTATTTAAATTTAGGTTAATTAAAATTTAAAATTCAGTTGTTAATCACATCAGCCACATTGCAAGTATACAGTAGGCCCATGTGGCTGGGATTGTCCTACTGCACTGCACAGATGTAGAATAATATCCATACTCTTCCATAATTGCAAAAAGTTGTTTTGGACAGCACTACCTAGAAACTGGCTCTTCACTGCTTGACTGTCCTTCTTGCTTCTCCCTCACTGTACAGGGAATTATTTAATGAAAGTGTCTAAATTTTCTGTCTTTGACTTACAGAAGAGTAGTAGAAAATTTTTTTTAGGGTTTTGGATTGATACTAAATAATTACTGAATGCCTATGATAGCATGTTCCTGTATCACTCTTTTCTCCTCCTGGGAGAAATCCAAAGCTTTTGTGTGTCACTCTGATGCCAGGATGTGTGCTTTAGGGTGCCACTTCAGCATCATGGATCTTTGGTACCCCAGCTCTCTTCCTGGTCACCTTGCAGCGCCACCTAGAACTGGCAGCACTCACCACCACTGGATGTCCCTTCTCCACTGAGCCCAGGACAGATGGTGGCTCAAGCTCCATTCCTTCTCACTTCCTTCAGCAGCCCTGAAACGCTGAGATTGGGGATTTCTGCATCAGAGGGTGAAGGCGGCAGAAACTACCAAGTAGCAGAGACAGTTTCGCTCACTGGGGCTTTCTTTGCCTCCTTTCTCCTTTCTTCAGTCTTAGGAGGAAATGCACCTTTCACTCCTTTCTTCAGTCTTAGGAGGAAATGCATCGAATTAGGCTGCCACTCCCTGAGTAAACCGAGTGCCTTTCCTACTCGGAGGGTGTTCGGGGCTTTTTTTTTGGTCATTGCCAACAAAACTCACCTCTTTGCAAGCAAGCTTCTCAGTCTGAAAAATCTAGCTCTCTGCTCCTAGTGGTGGAACCCTTGTGGTCCAATCCCCTCCTCCAAGTCCCATCTCTTAACGTGCAACGGGGCAGTTCAGTTTCCACGTGAGTCTGGGAGAGGTCACGCAAACACAGCACCGGCCAACCTATAGTGTAAGCAGCACCTTCCACAGGTGAACATGAGTGTTCTTCTCGGAGACAGCAAAGTCCAGACCGATACCGAGGGGAAAACATTTTCTTCACTACTGAGGGGCCTGCCCTGCCCAGCCACAGTCAGCCATCGCCAGCCTAGTGCAGCGTGGCAGCTCGTGGTGGCCCTGGGACCCGTGCTGCCCAGGCGAAATTCCGCATTCAGCCGAGGGGGCTCCTCTCACCGGGGGCTGTGCGTGCGGGGAGAGGGTTCCTGGGCCAGTCCCTCCGGCGACACGAAGTCCAAGGCCCTCTACTCTCAGTCCAGTGAGAAGTCAAGCGAACGCCCCAGTGCACGAGACAGGCCCTGTAATGGTTAGGTAGGAGGGCCTTGGACGCACAGAAGGGCAAGTCTGTAACTATTCCTGGGGTTTCTAGATGAGGGCAGGGGGTGTCAAAGATGATTTCATGGACATTTAAGCTCAGTCCTGAAGGATGAGTGGATATTTGCCCGAAAAACAAAGGGGTGATCAGGGAGGAAATGGCATTGATGCATGGAGAAAGAAAGTCTTGTTTTCTCTGTTTATTGGAATTAATTTTACTTAAATGAATGTGTCCACTGGCTTTGAACATGGTATGTTAAAAATATATAATAAAATATCAGAGGACAACCCATCTATCGCATTCTTTTTTCATGGTTTGCCTCTTTTCTATCTACCTTCAATTTCTAAAATACACTTATTGCTATGAATAACACTACGATTATGCAGCAGGTGCCTCGGGTTCCTCATCTCTGAAACAGGGTTTATAAAAGTAACAGCCACCTAAGTGTGTTGTTGTAAAGATTAAATGCATTGACATATGTAAATTGCTTGAAAGAGGGCCTGGCACACGATACGATTGAGGGTTAGCTGTTATCATATGATCCAAAAGATTGCACATATTGGGCTTACATGGGGCACAGGAAATTGACTGGCATAGAATACAGAATATGTGATGAGTTGGGAAGAAAGGGCTGGAAGGCAGGAAGGTTCAAGGTTGTGGATGGCCTTGACCATGAGCCTCAGAAACATGGATTTTTATCCTACAGATACTAGGGGACCACTGAAAGTTTTGAGCACCTAAAAAATATGACCAACCTATTAATATAGTTAGATAAATTCTCACATTAGGTAGTCCACCACAATTTTACCAATC